AAAAAAACGCAATAATATTCGACAATGAATAACTTTAATCATTTCTTCATTCTTCTAAGGCTCCTTGACGAATTTACTTATTTGATTGACACACCATACGACAACACGGACCCAAACGCTTGGAGATGCGTTGTTGACCGACCCCCAGGAGGCTCTGTCAGTAGTATTAGCTTGATCAATATAAACCATTTCCTTAACAAAATGATAGGTACTATTGGACTCCCTGATCCAGTTGACGCAGCAAATACAAATGGAGCTAATCTTGTACAGCACTTGCAGCAGTGCAAAACGGCTTTTGGTCGGATTGCCAACTTTATATCAGTTGATTTCTCCACCAAGGGAGACGTCTTCGGGGCTGTTGCTGCATTGAACGGTCTACCGCCTAAGCGTAAGGTTAAGACTAAGCGTCACCGGTAATTCTGTAAACGGGAGTCGTTTAACTTTGTAACGACCGAAATAACTGGATTTAAAAAGTGGGTGTGATATAGAGAATACATTGTATAGATGTTAAAACATTCGAAGAAGGGTCACATTTAGAGTTTTAATTTGGGTGTCTACATATGATTTATTGTAAATTACATGTGTCGAGAAGATCCGGACTTTTTTGTTTTTTCATTTGAAATATTATTATAATAATTAGAGGGAATGACTAATAATAAACATAATTTGAATCAGACAGGCTAATATGTGTATATCATATGACATAATGTTCTATCCAATTACGTGGCTCAAAAATAGACGCAGCAGCGGTAAAGTCTAGCCGAATTTTGCCCAAAAGGAAAATAAAGTTAATGATTTGCAAGACCAAATTTAACAAAGAAAACATACCAAAAACGATAAACTGGAACGAGAATGGGAATCTGTTTCAGAACAATATGAAACAATTGTTGGAGCACTCAAAAAACCAATTAACACCTTTGCGCGTTGGGCACATCATTATTGGCCCACGCATTTTCAACGATAATATTGGTCGAACGCAAGCATGAAAGAGTAAACGCTTGTCTTATGCTTTTATCTCTGTCCACACTGCCCGAATCAGCAATGCATACTAAAATCGCGCAAATGGAATGTTCTTTCTCATTGGTGCCCTTCTGACGTGTCAAGCTAATTAGCAACAGATCAGTTTTTCACAAGAGTCAAAAATATTAGTGTACACTGTTGAGACTTGGATTTTTCATTGCATACCGAGATAAAATAGGGATGATATATATTATGCAGGATTTATGACTAGCATTCTTGCTAGGATTCCATAGGTTGATTGTAAAAATCATCGCAAACGAAAATTTTACGGTGAAAGTCAAGTTCATAGTGCCAACTATAAGCAGCTTCGCAGTGTACGTCAAGACATGGATTTATCATTATCAATCTAATCTACTAATTCGGGACCTCACTTTGTCTGTCAACCGATCCCCCTTCCCTTCGTACATGTATGTCGACCACATGACTATATTGGTTTGCGGTGTCCATATTGTATACATAGTGCAAAAAAAAAGGATTATCAGTATCTTCTTTTTGTAAGAAAAAAAAACTTGCCAGTGAGCGCCGAGACAAAAAAAGCATGTCCTACGACGTTAGACTTGAAATCTTTTTCTGATTGTTCTCAAGCCACATTCCGTCAATGTCAACCGCATCATCTTCGTTTCCCAATCTCGATACTCCCGATCGTTCTCACACACCCGATTACACTCGAAAGACGACCCGACATTTGTCTCAATTTGATCCGGATACAACTGCATTGTGGGGGTTGGTGTTGTTATTGGGGACATACATTGTATTCGTTGTCAGTATGTACGCTATCGTTGTTAGTAAGCTGGTGCCAGAGACTGGGAACAAGGTAAAGATAAAAAAGGAAATAGGGTGATTAATAAGCGACGGGTTTGGAGGTCAGGTCAAAGCGTTTGTTTTTTTTTTTTCCCTTGACGGTTGCCCCATACGGTTTGTATCTCTTTGTGCACAGATACTGGATTTGATAAAGCAAGATGAATATTATTGCCTTTTGGTCCCTGTTACTTTGTCAGTAACAGTATATGCCGTGTTTTGGAATTGGATGGGCATGAAGTTCTTTAGGCACAATTAGGGAATAGGATAGATGCGGATCAATCCACTTAATTTATTGTTCATGTGTAAGTACTATTCCAACAAGTGGAGGCTTCTTGTTTTAATTCAAAGCGTCGCATTTCCAGGAACACACAATTCTTTCTCATATACACCAATACCTGATCCGGCACAGAATCAA